ATATATATATATATATATATATATATTAAAGTGGGCTAATAGAGGATTTGGTGCTCAATTTAATTAAAGAGTACTGATGCTACACCGATTAAAAATAAAGTTTATCTGATGTGATAATTGACATGATAATTAAATATTAAATAAATAAAAATAAAAATATTATTATTGTACTTTATACCAAATTTGAACCTGACGAAATCAAATCCAATTTGGATAAGCCCATCACATCTTCTTCAATTAGAGAAATCCTTCACATTAAAAACATAATTATCGCCTCATGGGATAACTCCACAATAAATTAAAAGCGAATTCAAGATTTAGTTAATAGTGAAACATTTTCAGTTTCGACAATTCTCATTAAGAGGACATACTTTTTCCATTATCGAAAAAAAGGTCCAAAGGGTAAATGAGGTCCAGGTAGGGTTTGATATCATCTATATATACCCATTTTGTTTTCTCCCATATCCATAAATCTATAGGCTTACAACTCTATAACTGCATATCTACAAGTTTTTTTTTTTTGAGAGTGAGAAAGAGAGAGAGAGCTAGATTCTAGAGAGAGGGGGGACTAAAAAAAGATAATAGAGAGAGAAAGATGGAATTTCTTCAGTTTCCCCTAGCTCTTTGCTTGGCAATGGCGGTCATTTTTCTCTTCATGTTGTGGAGGTTGTTATATTCTTGCTGGGTTTTGCCAAACCAGGCATACCAGAAGCTTAGGAGGAATGGATTTAGTGGTCCAACTCCAAGTTTTCCTCTAGGAAATATTGTTGATAGGAAGAAGAGTCTCCACTCTTCTTCTTCATCTTCTTTAAGCCTCACACATGATATCCATTCAAAAGTATTTCCATACTTTTATCTATGGCAGAAACTGCATGGTAAGCTCTCACAACAGTTAAAAAGTTTTCGCATTACTCACTAAACCAGAGAATGTTGCTAATACAATAATACCTGAGCAAGAATGCTCAAGTTGTATGAGCACATAATTCTCTTAAAGGTATTTTAGATCTTTCCAGATCGAACCTCCTGGACTGCTTTGTTTAATGCTTACAAGTCCGCAGGTGTGGGGAGCACCGAACGAACGTGTTTTAGGAAATATTCGCCTGAGACTTTCTTTTTTTTTTTCCTTTTTTTTTGCAGGGAAGGTGTTTATTTATTGGTTGGGGACAGAGCCGTTTCTATACATTGCAGACCCTGAGTTTCTAAGAAAGATTTCGGCTGATGTTATGGGCAAGAGTTGGGGAAAGCCCACTGTGTTTAAAAATGATAGAAAACCCATGTTTGGTAATGGTTTGGTTATGGTTGAAGGTGATGAGTGGGTTCGTCACCGGCATATTATTACCCCTGCATTTTCTCCTGCAAATTTGAAGGTATCTGTGTGTGTATAGGGGGGGCTGGCAAAGAGAAGAGACAATCAGCATATATAATCCATCACCCCATACCCATAAACCTTGGTAATTGAACCCTAGTATGAATACCAACTAATCAAACCATATCTTAACCAACATAAAAGTTTAAGGAATAGGTTCTTCAAATTCAAGGGATATGGCTAACTTAACTTTCTTAATCCTCAAGTTATCCTCCTCCACTACCTTAATGGTCGTCATTGTCTTTTTCTTCGGTAAGTAATGGTCGTCATTGTCAATTTAACCTTTTTCCATATTTCATTCACTTTTAATTTTTGAAGTATAGTGATACTCTTATCTTTAGTCCTATTAATATTATTTCAAACTTGACCAACAGACTATGTCAAGCATGACGGTGGAATCAACCACAAACATGCTCGATCGGTGGACGGCCCTAATCACCTCTGGAAAGCCCGAAATCGACGTGGAGACAGAAATCACGAGCACAGCCGGAGAGATCATAGCGAAGACGAGCTTCGGAATGAGCTACGAAAAAGGGAAAGAAGTGTTCGAAAAACTAAGAGCCATGCAAATGGCACTTTTCAAATACACCCGTTACGTGGATGTGCCCTTCTTGCAAGACTAAAGAAGGTAACATATTTATCGGAACATACTACACTTACGTTCCTTTGGTCGGCATGGCATTAGCCTTCTTCCTATGATTCAGTGGTCATAACATAAAATCTAAAATGGAGGGCTAGTCCACGTGTTGAAGCGCGTGAGGATAAGAGATTGGCATGTCATGATCCACCATGAACTTTGCTGACATAGTTACGTAAAAGTAACGTTTGAATGACTAAATTTTAAAATTAAATTTAAAATTTAAATTTAAATAATATGATAGTTGATTATTTAAAATTTTTATTAAGATCAAAATAACATCATATTAATTAAAAAAATTCAAATAAACCGTTATGTCATTTAATCCCAAAATTTAATCAATTTAGTAATACTGGTTATGTAAAGATCAACGTGGCAATACCCCACCAGCCCAATTGATTTGACTGTCCAAATGGCAAAATGAAAACGAAACGGTCTCACGCNTCTTAACCAACAATTCAAGAGATCAAAATGGTAATTTCGGAGAAACTTTAGGTATGTCTTGGGAATCGGAATATAATTCGAAATAATTTTTTACATTATGTTGTATATCTAATTTTTTAATCAATCAAACCGATTTAAAAGATCTATAATGATTAATGTAAGTGAAATTCTAGATTCTTATCAGATGTGACACAAACATACCACACAACAATGGTCAAAGGCGCAAAAGTTTAAGGAATAGCTTCTTCAAATTCAAGGGATACGCCTAATTTAACTTTCTTAATCCTCAAGTTATCCTCCTCCACTACCTTAATGGTCGTCATTGTCATTTTAACCTTTTCCATATTTCATTCACTTTTTAATTTTTGAAGTATAGTCATACTCTATCTTTATTCCTAATAATATTATTTCAAACTTGACCAACAGGCTATGTCAAGCATGATGGTGGAATCAATCACAAACATGCTCGATCGGTGGACGGCCCTAATCACCTCTGGAAAGCCCGAAATCGACGTGGAGACAGAAATCACGAGCACAGCCGGAGAGATCATAGCGAAGACGAGCTTCGGAATGAGCTGCGAAAATGGGAAAGAAGTGTTCGAAAAACTAAGAGCCATGCAAATGGCACTTTTCAAATACACCCGTTACGTGGGTGTGCCCTTTAGCAATTTCATGTGTCCTATTCAAAATTCAGAGGCTAAAAAGCTTGGGAAAGAGATTGATGCTATGCTATTATCAATTATAACGTCAAGAAAATCAAATGTAGGGCAGCCCCAGAAGGACCTTCTGAGCTTATTAATGGCGGAGAGCCAGGTGGGTGGGTCGTCGGAGAAGAAGTTGACGGCGAGTGAGCTGGTGGATGAGTGTAAAACATTCTTCTTCGGAGGCCATGAGACAACTGCTTTGGCTTTGACGTGGACGTTGCTACTCTTGGCCATGCACACTGAGTGGCAGAATCAGCTGAGAGAAGAGATCAAAGAAGTGATTGGAGATGGAGAGATTGATGCCACCATGCTTGCAAGACTAAAGAAGGTAACATATTTATCGGAACATACTACACTTACGTTCTTTTGGTCGGCATGGCATTAGCCTTCTTCCTATGATTCAGTGGTCATAACATAAAATCTAAAATGGAGGGCTAGTCCACGTGTTGAAGCGCGTGAGGATAAGAGATTGGCATGTCATGATCCACCATGAACTTTGCTGACATAGTTACGTAAAAGTAACGTTTGAATGATTAAATTTTAAAATTAAATTTAAAATTTAAATTTAAATAATATGATAGTTGATTATTTAAAATTTTTATTAAGATCAAAATAACATCATATTAATTAAAAAAATTCAAATAAACCGTTATGTCATTTAATCCCAAAATTTAATCAATTTAGTAATACTGGTTATGTAAAGATCAACGTGGCAATACCCCACCAGCCCAATTGATTTGACTGTCCAAATGGCAAAATGAAAACGAAACGGTCTCACGCGGGCCTAGGATACGATGTGGTTTGGCCTGGGGAGCACATATTTATATATTCTATCCGTTTTTAAATATAAATCATTTAAGATTTTTGTACATAAATTAAAAAAATTATTAAATAACTCTAATATGAGTAAAAAATAATTACACAAAATTAAAATATCTTTATTCAATACGCATCTAAACAAAAAAAAATATGAAAGATACTTAGCATACACTTAATCTATTAAACATTTATTGAAAAACATATATAAGAGTAAATTTAGAAGAAAAAATATTAATTATGTTTTAATTTTATTGAACGACAGATATTGTGGAACAAAAAAATTGTATAAAACGATAGATATTTAGCAGTAGAGAAAATATTTTTTTTTAGCTTAATGTGTTGTTTAACCGACCAAAGCTTTCTCTTTCCAACTTTCTAATGAGGTCTAATCTGACATGCATGCAAAATTGCATGAATAACTTGCATTTTAATGGTGTATAAAATTTACTATTTTAATAGATATTTTTATAATTTTTGTAAATTATTTTACAACTAAAATTTTTATTTTTTTTTTGTTGTTTTTATCACAATTGTAAGAAACTATAGTAAAAACTTTTTTTTTTCAATTTTTTTCGGTACCATAACTATAATAAAAAGATGGTAAAACTACTCACAAATGTTATAAATGAAAATATGGTACCGAATTTTTTTTTTTTTTCATGGGTACCAAAGACAACTCCCTAATTTAGTAATTATTTGTCTCATTTTCTAAATTCATGTTATATTCATATATTAAGAATTCAAATCCACTTCATTAGACTTGTATCCAATGATCTACCTATAAGTCGGGGGTCTATTTATAAAGAGTAATACTATATTTATCAAATTTTGGGATCGAATTTGAAGTCTAAATGACATAACAGTTGATTATTTGAAGCTTTTATTAGGGCTCAAATGACATTACACCAATCAAAGAAGCCTAAATCAATTGCCATGTCATTTGAGCTCCAAATTTAATCTCAAAATTTGATCAGTCTAACATTACTGATTTATAAAACTTGGGTCATANGGGAGCACATATTTATATATTCTATCCGTTTTTAAATATAAATCATTTAAGATTTTTGTACATAAATTAAAAAAATTATTAAATAACTCTAATATGAGTAAAAAATAATTACACAAAATTAAAATATCTTTATTCAATACGCATCTAAACAAAAAAAAATATGAAAGATACTTAGCATACACTTAATCTATTAAACATTTATTGAAAAACATATATAAGAGTAAATTTAGAAGAAAAAATATTAATTATGTTTTAATTTTATTGAACGACAGATATTGTGGAACAAAAAAATTGTATAAAACGATAGATATTTAGCAGTAGAGAAAATATTTTTTTTTAGCTTAATGTGTTGTTTAACCGACCAAAGCTTTCTCTTTCCAACTTTCTAATGAGGTCTAATCTGACATGCATGCAAAATTGCATGAATAACTTGCATTTTAATGGTGTATAAAATTTACTATTTTAATAGATATTTTTATAATTTTTGTAAATTATTTTACAACTAAAATTTTTATTTTTTTTTTGTTGTTTTTATCACAATTGTAAGAAACTATAGTAAAAACTTTTTTTTTTCAATTTTTTTCGGTACCATAACTATAATAAAAAGATGGTAAAACTACTCACAAATGTTATAAATGAAAATATGGTACCGAATTTTTTTTTTTTTTCATGGGTACCAAAGACAACTCCCTAATTTAGTAATTATTTGTCTCATTTTCTAAATTCATGTTATATTCATATATTAAGAATTCAAATCCACTTCATTAGACTTGTATCCAATGATCTACCTATAAGTCGGGGGTCTATTTATAAAGAGTAATACTATATTTATCAAATTTTGGGATCGAATTTGAAGTCTAAATGACATAACAGTTGATTATTTGAAGCTTTTATTAGGGCTCAAATGACATTACACCAATCAAAGAAGCCTAAATCAATTGCCATGTCATTTGAGCTCCAAATTTAATCTCAAAATTTGATCAGTCTAACATTATTGATTTATAAAACTTGGGTCAAACTTGGATAAATTCAAGTTTTTGCCAGCTCTATATAAGGTGGGTAATTCCTGGTGGTTCTAAATGTCTAAAATTTGTCTAAATGCAGATGGGATGGGTAATGAATGAGGTTCTACGGCTATACTCACCGGCACCAAACGTACAACGGTAAGCAAGAGAAGACATCCAAGTGGACGGGGCGGTGATCCCCAGTGGCACAAACATGTGGATCGACGTGGTTTCGATGAACCACGACCGAGAACTTTGGGGCGACGACGTTTATGAGTTCAAGCCAGAGAGGTTCAAGGATGACTCATTGTATGGTGGATGCAAGCACAAGATGGGGTTTTTGCCTTTTGGGTTTGGAGGGAGAATGTGTGTGGGAAGAAACTTGAGCATGTTGGAGTACAAGATTGTTTTAACTCTTATTGTCACTAGGTTTTCGTTTTCCCTGTCCCCAAACTACTGCCATTCTCCCTCTATCATGTTGTCTCTCAGGCCTACCCAAGGCCTACCTCTTATATTTCAACAACTGTAGTTTTCTAACCATTTGGATGTAGTTACTTTGTATTAGAGGAATATTATCTATTTGGATGCTCTCTCTCTCTCTCTCTCTCTCTCTCTCTCTCTCTCTCTCTCTCTCTCTCTCTCTCCCAAAAAACAATTAAATTAGGAAAAACTAAAACAATATATATATTGTAATACCCTTGAAAATGGATAAAATTCAACACTACCCATTGTTTAATAACTCTATTAGTATTATTTATAACATATAGGGCACCCCAGAACAAAAAAAAATGTAGGGCAGCCCCAGAACAACCTTCTGAGCTTATTAATGGCGGAGAACCAGGTGGGTGGGTTGTCGGATAAAATAAAAAATGATTGAACATGAGCTAGAAATGAATGATATAATATTTTTAGGAGAAAAAATATGTAAAGAATAAAAATTTAAATTATTATATGTTTTATTGAATAAATATAAGGTCATATTGATTCTAGTTCAACTCCAATTAAACCCATATTTACTCATTCTTTTTAAGCCTTCCAAACTCGAGTATTATCCACATTAAATCAATTTAAGACTTTGCTAATCAATTTCAACTTGAGTACTAAAAATTTCTATGCACATAAAAAATATTTTTAAATTTAATATAAACTAAGTTCAGATTAAATCGCTCAAATTACACCTCAACCTCTCTCTTATGATATGTATGATATGTAACTAGTTTAATCATAAGGATAGCTCAAGTGATAACAGAAATAATCTATAAACTCAAATGTTTTATATCTCAATTTTGGCAATTACTTGGGGTCAGATCATAAGAGATTTATTCAATTATCCATCATCCCTCATGAATACATTAGTCCAGACCCAAAAAAAAAAAATGAATATCCTAGTCTTGACGTAGATGTTCTGCCTTTGATCAAACAAAAAAGGATATTAATTGAAGTGCTCATAAACTGATCAAAAAACTCCTAACCATTGAAACAAAAAAAAAAAAGATACGAGGGCTATCAAAGTCCGACACAATACGATTAACCGACACAAATCAACACGAATTAAACAAGTCTTAACAAATTCGAATGGTAAAAGGGTTAACTCACCAGACACGTTTAATAAACGAGTTGTGTTCGGGTGAAACTTGTTAACCCATTTATCACTCGTTTAAATAAAATTTAGATAACAATAAATTAAAAAAAATTAGCCATAATAATATATATTTTTTCTAAAAACTACTTTCCCTCATCTGTCTTCGATGTTAAACAAATGGGACTTAAATGGGTCTAATGGATGAGATACCGGGTTAACCATGTTTATCCGCTCCTACTTCACACGACTCATTAAAAGTTAAATAGATTAAACAAGTTACGTCGTATTATCTGTTTATTAAACGGTTCGTGTTTTAATTTTTCATCTTTTATTAAATGTGTTGTGTATAAATTTAATTATGTTTTATTCATCACTCATTTAACTCGATATATAATTATTTAACCCGGCGTAATTGTCAAACTTGTTCATATACATCTAGGATTCAAAGGCACATATAAAGAAAGGCAAATGCGCCTATATATTACCTATACCAAATTGATTTGACCGTCCAAATATGGCAAAAAATGGGTCCCACATGAACATAAGACACTTTTTTAGCCTAAGTGGGCTAGCCAGACGAGCACAATTTTTTTTGGCTCATTAGGTCTGATAACCGACCAAAGCTTTCAATGGACGGAGTCTATCAAACTGGTCTATTCTGACGTGCATGCAAAATTGCTAGCAATGCATTCAACGTGTTGTGTTATGTTTCGTTACTTTATATTAAATTTTTATTTTGATATTGTGTTAATCATAAATTACAGAATTAGTAGTATCCTTTTCTCTCCCAATTATTAAATCCATTAAAAATAGGCTTTTCATAATTAATATTTTGCTTAATCTAAATCCTAACAAAATCAATTCAAGAATTATTTAATTTTTCAAAAAATGCATATAATATTAGTTTAAAAACTCATAAGTTTTGTTCAATATCATTAAATGTGTTTTTAGTGTCCAACACTATTCTAATACATTTAAGACTCTCTCTCTCTCTCTCACCAATATTTTTTACCACTTCAACGAGAATTGTTAGATGAGCAATGTTATTTGGATCTATTTGTCGACCTAATTTACTTGACCATGGATCCCATCAAATATTATAATTTGGTGTTAATTCAACGATTACAATAAAATTACTTCACTAAGTCAGTAAATTAGGTCATATTTTTATATTTTAATAGTATTAATCTTGTTAGATTAGTGGATTTTAATGGCTCTAGATTGAAAAAAAAAAAAAAGGGAAGAGTGTCAATATTGTAATAAAACATAACCTTTTAGGGAAGTTGCACTATTTATCTAAAGTCTTCTTTCAAAACTCTTTTTCCTTGTACATCTCCAAAATTTTATTATTGATAATCAAAGGAAATCCATGTTTTGTTCTACCTGGATTATTAAAAAAAGGAAGAAAATTTTTTTTTGCAACGAGACCCCTACATGGCTGAATTTAAATCAAAATTCTGAAATAAGTGAACAAAATACTTGTCTTTTTCCAAAAGCCTTCATGTTCAACCAAACAATTAATGGAGGAGAAATGCCAACTACAACTTTATAAGGTGGTACCCTCACGAGAATATAGCAAGCCCCCGTTTGAACTTCTTTTTTCCCATTGAAACCGTGAGTTTTGAAACATGTTTTTAAAGTAAAATCGTGTTTTAGAAACACACATCGTAAAACACAAATGTACTTTGATTAATAAGTTTGAAATTATATTATTTTAATTCACCCGTTGGTATTTATATATATTTTATTTGCTGTTTTTTAATAACAAGGGATCTGACGTCAGGCTTCCCAAAGGCTGATTAAGGTAGACTTTTACCGATCAAGGTCAACAATAAATCTACGACTTGTCGAGGAGAGAACTAATAAATCTTCAAAAATCATAACCACACAGATGAATCACTAGTTTTATAATGAAAATGACCATATGTCACGTGTGTCATTGTTTCAAATGGTATGGCATGATTATTTTTGTCAAAAAATTAACAGTCCAATTNTTTAAAAACTCATAAGTTTTGTTCAATATCATTAAATGTGTTTTTAGTGTCCAACACTATTCTAATACATTTAAGACTCTCTCTCTCTCTCTCACCAATATTTTTTACCACTTCAACGAGAATTGTTAGATGAGCAATGTTATTTGGATCTATTTGTCGACCTAATTTACTTGACCATGGATCCCATCAAATATTATAATTTGGTGTTAATTCAACGATTACAATAAAATTACTTCACTAAGTCAGTAAATTAGGTCATATTTTTATATTTTAATAGTATTAATCTTGTTAGATTAGTGGATTTTAATGGCTCTAGATTGAAAAAAAAAAAAAAGGGAAGAGTGTCAATATTGTAATAAAACATAACCTTTTAGGGAAGTTGCACTATTTATCTAAAGTCTTCTTTCAAAACTCTTTTTCCTTGTACATCTCCAAAATTTTATTATTGATAATCAAAGGAAATCCATGTTTTGTTCTACCTGGATTATTAAAAAAAGGAAGAAATTTTTTTTTTGCAACGAGACCCCTACATGGCTGAATTTAAATCAAAATTCTGAAATAAGTGAACAAAATACTTGTCTTTTTCCAAAAGCCTTCATGTTCAACCAAACAATTAATGGAGGAGAAATGCCAACTACAACTTTATAAGGTGGTACCCTCACGAGAATATAGCAAGCCCCCGTTTGAACTTCTTTTTTCCCATTGAAACCGTGAGTTTTGAAACATGTTTTTAAAGTAAAATCGTGTTTTAGAAACACACATTGTAAAACACAAATGTACTTTGATTAATAAGTTTGAAATTATATTATTTTAATTCACCCGTTGGTATTTATATATATTTTATTTGCTGTTTTTTAATAACAAGGGATCTGACGTCAGGCTTCCCAAAGGCTGATTAAGGTAGACTTTTACCGATCAAGGTCAACAATAAATCTACGACTTGTCGAGGAGAGAACTAATAAATCTTCAAAAATCATAACCACACAGATGAATCACTAGTTTTATAATGAAAATGACCATATGTCACGTGTGTCATTGTTTCAAATGGTATGGCATGATTATTTTTGTCAAAAAATTAACAGTCCAATTATGTAAATATTATTTAAATATAAATTAAATATTTTAAAGAATAAATTAAAATAATTAATACATTAAAAACTAAATTGAAAAAACAACCATTATTTACTATTAAAAGTGGAATTTACGCTAAAAAGGTAAGAAACTGTCAAAGTTCAAATCCCGCAATACCCGGATTCAAATATGACAAGTGGCAGCCAAATAATCGGCTCAAGAACTATGATAATCAAAAAATATATATATTTCTTAACGGTTACCTTATTTTTTTATCTAATAATAAAAGAACACTAATATTATTAATACATAATTTAAAAAATTAATATATTTTTATTATTGAATTGATAGTGTTAAAAGTCAATGATAATTTAATGTTAAGACTTATTAACAATTTAGTAACCACAATTATTAAATTCTAAAATTATATATTTAAATTATATATCAATAACATTACTCATTACAGAGCGACGTGTGTACACCAACCCCAGTACTTGTCAGTTTTCGTAGCATAGCCAAACCATAACACACCAATAATAATATGTTTGGGTTCGAACTATTTTTACAAAAAAAATAAAGTATCTAATTTATTAAACCAAAAAAAAGTATAGTACTACAAAATAGTTTTTCGGTACCAAATGATCTACCTTTACCCGAAAATGTTACATTTGGTTCATTTATTAGTGTTAGCTAGGGAAAACGAAGGGAAATGAAGGATCAATGACCCTTCAGAGAATATCCAATAGATTATATAAAATTTTAAAATAGTTAAAATTTAATTAATTAAAGACAAAAATTTTGTTTCAACAAAATATGTTCAGATACTCTATCATAATTTTTTATTACAATAATACTCTAAATATAAAATATTACTATAACAACTTGTATAGATATTTTATAATTTTTTTCTCTCTCCTCTTGTTCTTTCCCATCTCTTTTGTCCGGTCACCATCTTTCCCTCCATTCTCTCCAACAATCTCAACAAAATTACAAAATATGTGAAATAATATTTAAAATAGTTAAAATATAAAAAATCTATTCGAATATATATTGAAAAAGTGAGTAACTCAAAAAGAAAAAATGTACTTTTGAATAATTAAAATACAAAACATGATTGGAGATACTTTTATTAATCGGTAGAAGTTAAAAAAACGTGTAGATTGTATACAAAAATGTATAATCTCTCCTTGTGTAAAGCTGAGAATAAGAAATCCCCATGAAAATGACTTCTCTATGTTGTATTTGCCTTCAAATCTTCTACTGAACCTGCAATATCTGCTAAATATTTTGCATTATAAAACAATACTGATACATTATGCACTTCAATTGTATTATAGAGAAATGACCAAAAAAAAAAATTGCATTATAGAGAAACTAATTGAGTTTTATATGGTTAAAAACAATAATGTTATTTAGATTTAATTTGCTGACCTAATCAATCACAACTATTGGTTAGGTTATGGGTTCCAATAAATATTAGGGTTTACTATAAATCCAATGATTATGAATAATTAGATCAACAAATTAGGTCAATAAATTATGTCAAAGTTGCATTTATAGGTTAAAAACGTAGTACCTCGGTCTATAGTATCAGCCGATTATGTTATGACAAGTGGTGTCACAAGGATATGCACAGTCAATCTCCTTAGAGACCCTTCTTCCAAAGTACCAATCACCTACTGCTTCTGCAATGGTCTACAAGAAAAATGGTATGGTTACTCGTCATAGTGGATACTTAGAAATAAAATGTCTGATAAGTAGTACACTACGGTGAAGAATGTGATTAATAACTGCAACAAATGCAATCAGAAGCACCCCGCTAGTTGGTTATATATTTAAAATTTTCGTTTAAGACAATTCATTTCAAATACAACTTTTAGAGTTAAGTCATAATAGAAGGCATGAACATCTCATGTAAGTCTAATCCGGATCTTACTGCTTTAAAGAAAAACTTGAAGTAGTTGATGCTCCTAGGAGTGAGTTTGTGGAATTTACATTCATATTCTTGAAAAGAACTTATGTTGGTGCCCAAGAAAAGAACTAAAAAATATGTCATGGTTAAAAGATCCTAGCCATTCCATACGGGAACCAGGACTATATGCCTCAACCCTAGTGGAAAGTCAATTTAATCAGATTCATAGCTGAGACAAATCTTTTTTGGAAAGGAATCGAATCAAGGGTTGGAAAACGTATTGGCCATTCAATCCTGTCGACTATTTGAGAACGAAATTGGAGGTAGAGATATGAATGGAGAAGAATAATCAATTGACAAAAGAACATAATACCATTCTGTTCAATAGAGAAATGATATATAGCTCGAGGCAATGAAGTAGATGAGATAGGCATTTTTCGAGTTGTTCAGATAAATAGCATAACAGAGTAAAGGCTTTGTTTAAAAACGACAGGAACACATCAGCACCATTGTATATAACAGGGTAAAGGATTTGTTTATAAACCTTATTGTGCACTCTTGGGGAATCAGCTGCAAACCATGTGTCCTGTGACTCGCTTTGACAATGAGCAAAACAAGAATTTATAAACATTCCTCCTCTTCCAGAATTTTCAAAGAAATACCCCAAAGCTGTAAGCATATCGTTCCTGAATCCTGTAAACAATAATTCTAGTAAACTGTTACAATATCGTCGATTTACTTCACACACTTATTTCGAATAACTCCGAGATAATCATGCAGCATGGAAGCTGAAGTGTTTTTTTAAAAGGAAATAACTTTCAAGTAGTAAATCTTAAATGAAAAACGCTGATGAAGAGTTATCAGAAGAAAGTAAAAACATATACTTTGAAAAAAATGTAGAGATCAAAACCAGACCTTGCAAAATATTTATCTGGTCTGTGCTACAGGCTGCTGGATTAAGCTTGCAGTGATTCCAATGTCCAACCAAATCAGCAGAAGGCGGCACCAATATGTGATGAAACTGTTGACATAAAAAGTTGCAATCACACTCGCCGAAAAAAAAAAGTTACAATCACTTCTCACCATTGCATCACAAGCACTAGAAAAGTGCATGGTCTGGGCCTGTATAGTTTCGAAGTAATGAGTTGAAAGATCTTACTTGGTACACATCATATGCCGAGTTCAAGATGAAAAATGGTGTTCTGATGTATGGCAATGCATTCTGTGGGAAAAAACACTGAAAAAGACCTCAGAAATGGTCAGAACAATGCTTAAATTTTAGGATTGCTAATTGCTAAACCAAAAATAAGGAGTGTAAATCATACTTCTTGTGGATCGTGACCAGAACTCGTGCAGTTTTTATCAAGATTCTGTTCTACACCCTGGAAATTGCTTGATAACATCTGAGATTAGAAACACTAAATACGCACAATACCAGAGTTTAAGAGGTTCTATGATTCATAAAGTGTCATCTTGTGAAACAGATAAAGGGCACCCAAAATCAATCCAATTCTTCTTAGAGTGAGAGGTGTACCTGTAAAGAAACAACGTCTTCATAGAAAGATCTCATAGTGTAGTTCAAACTTATGTCTCTTCTGCAGTGAAAAAGACAAAGATTTTACCATTGAATTGAGAAATTGAAGTTCTAAAACATTCCATTTGAAGAAGTTAAGGACTTACGCATCCAAGAAAAATCCAGCATCACTCAAGCATTTCACGCTTGCGTTACTTGGTAGATAGCTGGTGAAGTTGTCACAGTGCAAAAAGGATGCCAAACCCCCAGCAGAACATCCCGAAAGCAGAGCCTAAAGAAATAAATGTGATCAAACTACCATTAAGCACACCTGAATTCATGTATTATGCAAAGAGGGATCCCGGAACTGTCATTGTCTTTCCTACAAGGCCTTATATTATTCGCCTGAATGCAAGCTCATGTAAACTTTCACATGCATCATATATCCCACTCGCTAAAACCTTATACATCTTGTATTGCAGCTTTGGACAGAAAATGAGTCTTTTATGAACCCAAGTTATAAGTTGTTCAACAGCACCTTCAAATGAAACACAGAAATGATATCTACAAGAAAGTACAAGATTCAATCAACTTGGTCATTACTGTTTGCCATCTGAATCATAAGTCAATTTGGGTAGATGATATAATTTTAGATCATGTATATATGTGAAGTATTTTTATATAGGGCGCTTATGCTGAACCATGTCATTCCCTTGCTTCAAAATCTAACAAGGAAAAACATAAATCCGGCAAGAATATGTTTTACCTTTCTGGCATTGCCAAGACCTTTTGGGAGAAGGTCAAGAATAATTGCTTGCCAGATCCTCTGCCCTCTGAAATAAAGTAATGACGTCTGCCAGTTTATCACATAAGAAAAATCCTTGATTAGAAGTATGCAAACCAAATTATAAGATTTAGATATGTTTGATAGAGCAACTATACTTATATTTGATGGAACAAGAAAGTGAATAAGTACAAAAATTGTTAAAACAAAATGGGACTGTAATATACTTACTCCATTGTCAAACTTGGCATCCCCAGCAAATGATGCTCCATCACAATATCTAAGCTTCACTCGATTCCAATTGTAAAAATCTGCTTGTTTCGATGCAATTGAATTACGTTTGTTAACGGATAATTCTTTAAATATCTTAAAAGAAACGATAGAAATGACATTTCATACACCAACACTACCTAACGTAAGTAAACAGTTGCCAATAAGAAATCTAGTTGAGATGTAGAATGGACATGTTCTCTTGCAATTCAGAGAACATTTTCATTATCCTTTGTAACATATGGTATATATGCCTTATCACTTCCCATCATGTTCTTTTTGAGATTCAATAGCAAAAAAAAAATGTTCGTTTTTGAGATTCAACCATTAGATCCATTAGATAAAGAGATTTGTCATGATAACTTCATAGAAAATATTAAATTGTTTTTAGAATTACAATAGCGCTAAAAACAATCTTATATATTCAGGATAAACACAAAATAGAAGGATGTCTATGATGAAAAAACCCCATCATATCTAAATTTTACTTAATTTGATTTAGAAACATTCTTGTACCAAAGTTAAAAAAGCAAATGCTCGAACATTGCAGCAACTGCAGCATGATTTGGAGCGTATACATTCAAACCCACATCAAAAAAAAGTTTGAATTCGAGGAGAGTCCCACTCGCAACAATTTGGTTCATGATCCGACAAGAGCTCAGCACCTATGAGCTGGGTTTAAGTGTTTTATCTTCCCTTCGACTCTCTTTCTTGTTTCTGTTACATTATTATACAATGTTGGACTTGTGTTTTATGATCGAATAAAATAACCCTAGACATGTGACCAAGGTCTCTAGGCAGTGGGGTTAAGCCATATGCGCATGCATATCGGTTGTCTTATTTGCTGTCATCTTCTAGGTAGGAGTCGGTGCCCATATTTATAGCATACAGGTAGACAAAATTCTCAGGGTGTGTTTAGTTTAGGTAATAAGACAGAAGCATTGAAAAAAAATATATTTGGGCTCATCTTATCTCTTATACTTTCATGTTTGGATACACACTTTGCACTTGGTATTATCACAAGAAAATAATTCAGGCCCGGATGAATATTGCATTTATAGCCACATACACCTGCTTAAATAAATCCACTGGGTTTAAATAGTCCGATTGGGTATATTTAGGCAAAAGATATTTTTATTCTCTCTCTAGAATATCATTATCTTAAAGGTTCCTTAATAATTTAATGTTTATACCATCATTCAATACTTTATCCAAACACTGTATTGGATAGGATAAATATGAGGTTTAATACTTCTTAATATTTGAACTAAACATGGGATAAGCAAGTATTATCACTATAATTAATCCAAGGCTTGGATGAATGAGTGTGTGATGGATGGATTTATCTAATCCGATCCTTTCTACTGCCTAAACTAAACACAATAAGTGTTATTCTCCTTTCCAATTTCATAGTGATTAAAAGATGTCCAATTCTCTTTTTAATAATTAGGATTTGCATGCATCAACAAATTTATTTGTTAAAAAATATGATACTAAATTTTTTAAATTTAAACATAATTGAATCTATTAATGCGTATAAATACTGATAATTGAAAATAGGATTTATTGGAACTAAAAAAAAAAGTGGATTAAAAGACCTTTTCTCAAAAAAAAACTTAACAAATCAATTTAAGTAAAAAAAATGAACTGTTTCAGAAATAAATAAATGAGAGAAGGAAGAAATTTTATTTGAACACAAGAAACAAATAACGTTACTGAAGTAATAAAAAATTTGGAGTTACAAGACTCTAATTTATAGAAGTTGCTTCCTACAAATACTCAACTAACTTGGACTCAATCACAATACCAAACTCTTAGAATATCTCAACAATCTGATGATGACTTATTTCAACATAATAGACTAAGACTCAATCAACAAAGCAGATTCCTAAATAAATTCAACTACCCCTAAAAAATAGGCCAGTAAGATGCACTAAACTTTGACACTGTCAACTCTTTTGAAATTGAAGGGGAATCTAACCCCAATTTACTCGTATAATTATGAAAGTTGACAAAAAAAATCAATAGTGGGGATAAGAGAGCATAATGATGTTTGGAACCTATATTGATTGAAACCATTATCGAAGACATACCAATACCATAAACAAGAGTAATTTTGCCCTTCCAGAGGATCTCTCAGGCAATTAAAAGAGGCAAAGAACGGAAAAACTCAGTGACTAGCGGGGCAAGTGAGAGCTGGAAGCTGGAGGTTGAAAGCAGAATCAGAGTAATAGCTGTGTGCCTCGGCGCCAACCATTAATCACGTGGAAGGACAATAAACAAACTGAGGAACAGTACCATTTTTGTTGGAAAATGATTGGAGTCAAATTGTCCCATGATAGTGAGCATCATGAGAGTCCATGCTCTGGCCAATCTTACTACTCAATCTGGGTCGTAATTAGATAACAATGGTAATGGATAAATACATACCAGGATTTAGAGAAACGTTGTTATTAAGAATTCCAGAGAAGACCTCCCACTTGCTCATGTAACGTGTTGATCCACGATGAGTTTTGGCTCTATCCAAGCATGAGTTGATGTCATTGCACCACCCGCCTCCCTATTAAAATGATCATTATTAATGAATAAGAAATTAAGAATCGCAACGCCTAACATGGATCAAATTGATCTAACTTAATCATAAATCCACAATACTATTAATATGCCCATCATGGCAAGATGTACTGATCCATCATAAGAATAATAATTTACCATGATTATGAGGGTTATTTTAGAACAAAATCACAAAGATTCAAAAAAAAAATATTACACTTTCACTAATTTTACTGATTATAAATGAGTTCCTCACCATATATATAATACAGTGATTAATAATTGAACGATAATGTATTGAGTAATATCTCGACCTAGAGGAAATAGTCAAGAGGTATTCATACTAAGTGATGTGACACCACGACAAAAACCATTAAATTGCAAGACAAAGCAACCTCATCTCTCTTGTGGTTAGGCATGTCACTTCTCGTATGCCAATCAATTAAAGGACCTGGTTGACAAAAAACACTTGTGTTTTATTCTTTTTTTTTTTAATGGTCGGGGAATAATATTAGACACATCACTTTTTGTACAATCGCAATGTAAATCATTAAATTAACAAATTTTTGGGAAATTTTTAACCACATTCTCTCTAGTTTATCATATCTTCAAAAATACTTCCTCTTTTTTTTTGAATCTTCAGTAACACCCTCTATCAGATTAAAAATATTAATTAAAATACTATTTTACTAAATTGTCCATAATATATTTGAGAACAAATTTTATCCACACCCCCTCTAGATAAGTGTATCTTCAATGAGACCTCCTCTGTTTTCTAATTTTTTTTACTTATTAACTTTCGAGCTTGTTAAAATTCGATTCATTACATATTAAAATTTGAGCCGATTAAAATTATATTTTTTACGTATTAAAATTTAGGCTAATTAAAATTCTATTTGAGCCAATTAAAAATTATTTTTAATCAACTCAAATCAAATTTTAATCAACTCACATTTAATTTTAATCAGCCCAAATTTCAATACATAAAAAAATATAAATTTTAATTGACTTAAATTTTAATAAATCGAATTTTAATTGACATGAATTTTAATAAGTAAAAAAAATATAAATTTTAATCGACTCAAAAGCGAATTTTAATCGGCTCTAATAACTCGAGTAGAGTTCAAATTGACTCAAATTTTAATATGTAAAAACTAAATTTTAATATGCCAAATTTTAATACGTTTATAAAAATAAAATTTAATCAGCTTTAATTGAATTTTAATTCGTTCAAATTTTAATATGTAGAAAAATAAATTTTAATCAGTTCGAATTTTAATAAAATTTTTATGTATAAAAATTACTTGAGATTTATGTAGAGACATTTTTTGTATTTTAGATGAATTTTTTTGTTAGAAAGAGTAGTTTAATGGTAGGGCATGTTAGTGATGTTTAAATATAAAATAAAAAAGGTGTTAATGATATTTTTGATAATAGATAAAATATCTTTGAAAATATAATAAATTAAGAAGAGTGTAACTGAAATTTTTACTTGAATTTATTGAATAATTAAAAGTTGAAATAATGGAACATCAAGCATAGACAAGATGGTGCTCAAAATAATGCAGAACCGCAGATATCATTATTACCTTTTTATTGGTGGCCGAAAACTTCTTTGAAGTTGATTGAGAATGAAATATTGTCCCTTATGCATCATCTTGTTCAAAGTCCATTATATATTGGAAAAAGAAAAAAGAAAATGACATTTGCTAAGAGTAATTTTATATGAATTTAATTTATAGATTTAATTATGGATTTAATTTAATATAATTATTAAATTAATTCTAAATTCTTGGAGTCCACTTTTAATCTAATAATTATAGTTGATTAAGTCTTAAAATTATATTCAAATAGCATTTAGCTTTGCTAAATGATGCTTGTGTGTAACTCATGGCTATTTAAAATTTAAATGCATGAAGTGAGACATGAATTTTGCTCTTCTCTAAATTTCTCTGTGAATACAAACCTTTTTAAATAAATTGTATCACATGGGAAAAGGATTGAAACTGATAATTTCTAATTATCGGGAAAAAAACCCGATAATCTATATGTTTGATCAACTAATCGTATTATTAACTTCATTAAGTATCAGTCTGTCCNTGGCAAATGCAAAGAAATTCGAATGATGATGTGAGAACTGAGCTAAGAACAGCCGATTCTGATTTGCCGGAAAATTTTCCACCGGAGGGGAATGAAATTGAGGCGTGAGAGTAAAAACAGAGAATAAGATGAAATGAACAGAGAAGAGAATGAGGATGAGGATTGAAGAAACAGGGAAAGAGTTTATAAGAACAGGCTTTTCGAAGCTCAGAGAAAAAAAATGCGCTCGCTGTTTTGAGGACGAGTCCCAAAGACGGGGAGAGAGAATGTCTGATATAAGTAGCCAACCAAAGACACGGATGACCCCGAGCGTTGAAACAGCGAGCATAGGGACGTTACGGATCAGATCAATTGTATTGGAACACTAGAGGGAAAGAAGTTAGGTCCCTCTTTTTTGTCTGGATCGAACGAATTGCACTTTATACCTTAAAATTTAAAAAAAGAATTCATTTTTTATATTTTACTCTCAATTTATTAAAATTATTACAATATACTTTTAAATAGCTTTTATTGTTCATTTTGTCAATATAAATGTGGACAAGACCACATTGTAATAATTTTAATATCTTGAGAGTACAATATAAAAATATTAATCTTTGAGAAGTATAAAATAAAAAAATTTAAATCTTTCGGGTACAAAATGTGATTTTCCCATTAGATTTACCATCTGATGAGATTTTAATCCAAATTCAATTAATTAATTATAAATTAATACTTTTAATAAATTATTTGTATTTAATCCTATAATTTCAAATATTCGAACTTAAATAAATCAATATTCAATCCTATTGAATTTTATAGAACTTTATGTTTAAATTCAATTATTATTTTTAGGAAATTAACTTGAAATACATGTGATATGTATTTCGGATTTTTCTATTTTTACCAACTTTAGATAAATAAAAAATGTTAAAAAGAAAATGTGTCGGGTAAAATAATCAAATTTCTTAAATTATACCAAATTTGAACCTGATGAAATCAAATCCTTGAACCATTGATAAGCCTATCACATCTTCTTCAATTAGAGAAATCCCTCACATTTAAAAACATGATTTCATTACCTCATGGAATAAATCCCCAATATATTTAAGACTCATTTTCAAAACAAGTAATTAAAATTTAATTCAAGATTTGGTTAATAGTAAAACTTTTTCAGTTTTGACAATTCTGATTAAGAGCATATCCCTTTTTCCAATAGGGAACAAATATTAATTAGCAATTAATCCAGAGTGTAAACAAGGTCTAGGTAGGTTTTTTAATCGAGTCTGAGTTTTATAAATTTGAGCCCTACTTTGTCTGACTTTTTTTTCTAAACAAATCTAATAAGTTGTTCAAGTTCGACTTATATAAAAAAGTGAGTTGAATAAGACGGAATAGTTCGATTATTTTACATATAAACGAGTCGAGTTTTATGAATCTTAGCCAAGCCTTTTAGACTCATTTTCTAAATAAACCTAAAAAATTATTCAAACTTGATTTTTTTGAAACACGAATTGAATTTAAGCCACACCTAAATAGCTCGACTCGATTAACGGTCCAAGTATATTATAACTTCTTCTGATAAAAGAAAAGAAAATAAGTCTCAGCCAAATCCAATAGGGCCTATACATAGCAAAATTAGGCCTATGCCCAAGGAACTGTGAAACTATCTGGGACCATAGAATCTACTGGCCCGCTAAATGATTGAAAAGCTTCAATTGGCCCAAACAATTAGTTCCCAAAAAGGACATTTGGAAAGAGAACCTTTTAGTTCTAGTATAATTACATAATAACACATAAATATTGGGATCAGAAGTGCAAAGTTGTTATTTTGGATCCGCTGCTCTCATCCTACCGTGGGAAACAAGCTTCCGAGAAAGGAGCCTTCGTACCAGTGAGCGAGAGAGAGAGAGAGAGGGACGGAGAGACAGAAGGCTTTCAAACTCTTCTAGTCCAAGGTCAGTCCATGTTCAAAACCCTCCCTGACAACCGATTTATCGCAAGAAAAACCCTATTTTCTCGCCTTTATTGGTACAATTTATCGCATTTCTTGTCCAAGATCTTCAGTTTTCGGATCTTTTTTCACCTGTTTATATACATTCAGTCTCATTCTTTCTTGATACAATCTTTTGCGTAAAATGTTCAGTTTATAAGTCCTTGACGAGCGTAAGTGATGCACCATATGTAGTCTTGACATTTGTGGTAGAAGTTGTCGCATTTTGTAATTGAATATATTCAATTTTCGGATCTTTACTTGTTTATGTACCTTCAATTTCGCTCTTTCTTGATATATTCTTTACATAAATTGATCATCTATAAACCGTCGACGGTTAACATTGGTGTGTAGATTATTATGTGTGATGGATCATTGTATGGGGTGTTTCTTTTATGGGTTTTGTTCTTCTCCACTGAGAATATTTAGGGTTTAAAAAGAGCTTTAGAAACAGAACACTCCACAGAAAGTTAGCTGCCAAATATTTATATGTAAACCTACTATGGAGAAGTATTGCTCTACACATAATTTATTGACGTAATTTGTTGATTTAATCATTCGTGACCATTGGATTGAAAATGACTCTAATATTTGTTGGGACTTGCAACTAATGCAATAGTTGTGATGGGTTAGGTAAGAAAATTAGATGTATATTATATTATTGTATGAAAAAATATACTTACTCCCGATGTTTCTTGTATATTTATTTTTGGTGTGTTGTGAAGGTTCGAAAAACAAAATCTTGCAATGTTATTTTTTCTGGGGTGGGAATTATGCACCTGAAAAGTACTTTTTTTAGTTGTGCAAGAAGAAAAGGAAAAATCTAAAACAAGGCTGCTTTTGAACTCTTATGAAACAAAATAAGAGACTATGCAGCATTGTTTCACTTGTTTTAATGTGTTTAAGTTGCTTTCCTGAATATTTGAACAAGTTGTTGGCTAATATAAGAATTAGTTTCCTCTTCATTAAGTTGAGTAGCTACTCCTTCTCTGGGTTATTTATTTGTGTATCTATTCTTAGTACGTGTCCTTGCTTATTCAAATAACAATTTTTTTGCAGGTTGCCTGAATTTCTCTGGTCAAAGGGGTCAGAAAAAAAAAAAAGAAGTCCAGCTTTGGTTATAAAGTTTGTAATTCTTAGGGGTGTGATATTTGGAATTGGTAAATAGGCAAGAGAGACAAATTTGGCATACTACATCAGAAAGAGTGTTTCACACTGTCATTATATAAACCATGGAGCCGCTGTGGAAGCTTGCATATTTGTTGGAACCGGCTTCTGTGACTCTCATTTTGACAGCTATAGCAGTGACATTTGGTTCTGTGATTCGAGCTTTTAACTATGGGAAAGAAATGGAGCGAAACCATGACTCGTCTGAAGAATCCATTATTTTAGATAGGTCCAAAGCACTCATGATACCCGTTCTGTGCTCTTGCGGCCTTCTTTTGATGTTCTACGTCTTCACTTCTATCTCGCAACTTCTAATTGCTTTCATTGCAATTGCCTCTGCTTCATCCCTTTACTTATGGCTTTCACCATACACTGCCTATATGAGGTCACAATTTGGTTTGGCTGACCCATTTCTATCTCGCTGTTGTTCCAAATCATTTACCCGAATACAGGGGTTTCTACTGTTGCTATGCTCCGGTATAGTTGTAGCATGGCTTATTTCTGGACATTGGATGTTAAACAACTTGCTGGGCATATCTCTTTGTATCTCGTTTGTGAGTCATATCCGCCTTCCCAACATCAAAATTTGTGCCATGCTCCTTGGTGGTTTGTTTGTGTACGACATATTCTGGGTATACTATTCTGAGAGGCTTTTTGGTGCAAATGTTATGGTCTATGTAGTAACACAGCAATCAGCTAATCTTGTTCACACAGTGGCTAATAAGTTCAGTCTTCCTGGAATGCAATTGTTTACCAAAAAACTGGGGCTGCCTTATAAGATTGTATTCCCCAGGAACTTGTGGCGTGGTGTGGTCCCAGAAATTAATGCTGCTGACTACATAATGCTTGGTCTGGGCGACATGGTAAAACTTCTTTTATGTGTGGTTACGCTAATAATCAAAATCCTCTCTAAGCATTGAAAGTTGGAGTTTTAGGACTCTTGATATTTAAAGCTATAGTGCAGAAGCATGTTGCATTATAAATTTTGCATAAATGAATTGTGGGAATATCATAGGTTGTTACATGATGCTGTGAATTTCCTTTTTACTGTTANAAAGAGACATCAAGAAACTTGTTTTTTAAAAAATATCATAATTTGATAAAAAAAATTTAAAAAAATTAATAATTTTGATACTTTTTTTTTTTTGGATATCTCAACTATCCCAATAGATCACTATAATAATTTTTATTTATGTATCAGATTAATGTTGGACTTTGTATAAAGTCGTCTTTTCATACAATAGAATAAATTTGTAGATAGTCACTCTATAGAACTACGCTTCGTGAAATATTCAAACACCTAACCTATCCTTTATTAAAAAATATTTTCAATGATTGAACTACTACTGGACTAACCCTCGGTTGTTTTTTGATATTCAATTCAATGCTACTTTGTATAGGATAGTTCTGCATATTGACTTTTAGATTTTGGAAAATGCTAATTAAAAATTTGGCAATCGAATTTAGAAACCTAATTAAATATAACTATTGAATTAAAAATTAANATGCTACTTTGTATAGGATAGTTCTGCATATTGACTTTTAGATTTTGGAAAATGCTAATTAAAAATTTGGCAATCGAATTTAGAAACCTAATTAAATATAACTATTGAATTAAAAATTAATTTCATCTAACATTAAAAAAAATTAATTTCAAATAACATTGAAACACAACATCCCAAATTAGCTCCCCCTAGTACTGCTGTTAGATTTTTTTTTGCCCTTTTTGCCCTTTTTGCCCCCACAAAAGGCCAAAGAATTACCTCAAACTGCAAAAGCCAGTTGCGTGCTCCAGCGCCAAATCCTCTGTGGAGATGATAAGCCGGCAAACTTCCATCCAAGCAATCTAAGGATATTCACCCAAAAAAATACAAAATTACCTCCAAAAAAAAAACAATATTTTAAAATACGTTTCGTTTATCTGAAAACACAGTACATGGGAGAAAAGAAAATTATATCGAATAATTTATAAGTTTCGTTAAAGGCTTACAAGCTTCGAGAGCCGTAGCGTTTCGAACCACAGTCATGTTCACCAGAAGCCGCTCCTCCTCCGCGTAAATGAACGACGATCCATACGTTAGCACAATCAAGCTAAACGAAACTACTACTATCAGATTCATATTCTCCTCACCTCAACTCGAAGTCTCGCTCAAATGATAATGAGAAATATTTGAGAAAAAGAGATATGTAATATTAATAACGATTCTCGAGAGTGTGTGAACAGTCTGTAAAATTTCGTCAAATATTCCGAAGATGCATGCTATAGTTGAATTTCAACGGAATCACTGCATGATATTCGGAATCACTGAATTTCGTCAAATATTCGGCTACGTAATAGCTAGCCTCGGACGTAATAAATTTTTCCAAAACTGTGGCAAATGCAAAGAAATTCGAATGATGATGTGAGAACTGAGCTAAGAACAGCCGATTCTGATTTGCCGGAAAATTTTCCACCGGAGGGGAATGAAATTGAGGCGTGAGAGTAAAAACAGAGAATAAGATGAAATGAACAGAGAAGAGAATGAGGATGAGGATTGAAGAAACAGGGAAAGAGTTTATAAGAACAGGCTTTTCGAAGCTCAGAGAAAAAAAATGCGCTCGCTGTTTTGAGGACGAGTCCCAAAGACGGGGAGAGAGAATGTCTGATATAAGTAGCCAACCAAAGACACGGATGACCCCGAGCGTTGAAACAGCGAGCATAGGGACGTTACGGATCAGATCAATTGTATTGGAACACTAGAGGGAAAGAAGTTAGGTCCCTCTTTTTTGTCTGGATCGAACGAATTGCACTTTATACCTTAAAATTTAAAAAAAGAATTCATTTTTTATATTTTACTCTCAATTTATTAAAATTATTACAATATACTTTTAAATAGCTTTTATTGTTCATTTTGTCAATATAAATGTGGACAAGACCACATTGTAATAATTTTAATATCTTGAGAGTATAATATAAAAATATTAATCTTTGAGAAGTATAAAATAAAAAAATTTAAATCTTTCGGGTACAAAATGTGATTTTCCCATTAGATTTACCATCTGATGAGATTTTAATCCAAATTCAATTAATTAATTATAAATTAATACTTTTAATAAATTATTTGTATTTAATCCTATAATTTCAAATATTCGAACTTAAATAAATCAATATTCAATCCTATTGAATTTTATAGAACTTTATGTTTAAATTCAATTATTATTTTTAGGAAATTAACTTGAAATACATGTGATATGTATTTCGGATTTTTCTATTTTTACCAACTTTAGATAAATAAAAAATGTTAAAAAGAAAATGTGTCGGGTAAAATAATCAAATTTCTTAAATTATACCAAATTTGAACCTGATGAAATCAAATCCTTGAACCATTGATAAGCCTATCACATCTTCTTCAATTCCTCACATTTAAAAACATGATTTCATTACCTCATGGAATAAATCCCCAATATATTTAAGACTCATTTTCAAAACAAGTAATTAAAATTTAATTCAAGATTTGGTTAATAGTAAAACTTTTTCAGTTTTGACAATTCTGATTAAGAGCATATCCCTTTTTCCAATAGGGAACAAATATTAATTAGCAATTAATCCAGAGTGTAAACAAGGTCTAGGTAGGTTTTTTAATCCAGTCTGAGTTTTATAAATTTGAGCCCTACTTTGTCTGACTTTTTTTTCTAAACAAGTCTAATAAGTTGTTCAAGTTCGACTTATATAAAAAAATGAGTTGAATAAGTCAGAATAGTTCGATTATTTTACATATAAACGAGTCGAGTTTTATGAATTTTAGCCGAGTCTTTTAGACTCATTTTTTAAATAAATCTAAAAAATTATTCAAACTTGATTTATTTAAAACATGAATCGAATTTAAAAACCACACCTAATTAGCTCGACTCTCGAAGTATATTATAACTTCTTCAGATAAAAAAAAAGAAAATAAGTCTCAGCCAAATCCATAGAAAGAAAATAAGTCTCAGCCAAATCCATAGAATTTACTGGCCCGCTCAATGATTGAAAAGCTTCAATTGGCCCAAACAATTAATTCCCAAAAAGGACATTTGGAAAGAGAACCTTTTAGTTCTAGTATAATTACATAATAACACATAAATATTGGGATCAGAAGTGCAAAGTTGTTATTTTGGATCCGCTGCTCTCATCCTACCGTGGGAAACAAGCTTCCGAGAAAGGAGCCTTCGTACCAGTGAGCGAGAGAGAGAGAGGGACGGAGAGGCAGAAGGCTTTCAAACTCTTCTAGTCCAAGGTCAGTCCATGTTCAAAACCCTCCCTGACAACCGATTTATCGCAAGAAAAACCCTATTTTCTCGCCTTTATTGGTACAATTTATCGCATTTCTTGTCCAAGATCTTCAGTTTTCGGATCTTTTTTCACCTGTTTATATACATTCAGTCTCATTCTTTCTTGATACAATCTTTTGCGTAAAATGTTCAGTTTATAAGTCCTTGACGAGCGTAAGTGATGCACCATATGTAGTCTTGACATTTGTGGTAGAAGTTGTCGCATTTTGTAATTGAATATATTCAATTTTCGGATCTTTACTTGTTTATGTACCTTCAATTTCGCTCTTTCTTGATATATTCTTTACATAAATTGATCATCTATAAACCGTCGACGGTTAACATTGGTGTGTAGATTATTATGTGCGATAGATCATTGTATGGGGTGTTTCTTTTATGGGTTTTGTTCTTCTCCACTGAGAATATTTAGGGTTTAAAAAGAGCTTTAGAAACAGAACACTCCACAGAAAGTTAGCTGCCAAATATTTATATGTAAACCTACTATGGAGAAGTATTGCTCTACACATAATTTATTGACGTAATTTGTTGATTTAATCATTCGTGACCATTGGATTGAAAATGACTCCAATATTTGTTGGGACTTGCAACTAATGCAATAGTTGTGATGGGTTAGGTAAGAAAATTAGATGTATATTATATTATTGTATGAAAAAATATACTTACTCCCGATGTTTCTTGTATATTTATTTTTGGTGTGTTGTGAAGGTTCGAAAAACAAAATCTTGCAATGTTATTTTTTCTGGGGTGGGAATTATGCACCTGAAAAGTACTTTTTTTAGTTGTGCAAGAAGAAAAGGAAAAATCTAAAACAAGGCTGCTTTTGAACTCTTATGAAACAAAATAAGAGACTATGCAGCATTGTTTCACTTGTTTTAATGTGTTTAAGTTGCTTTCCTGAATATTTGAACAAGTTGTTGGCTAATATAAGAATTAGTTTCCTCTTCATTAAGTTGAGTAGCTACTCCTTCTCTAGGTTATTTATTTGTGTATCTATTCTTAGTACGTGTCCTTACTTATTCAAATAACAATTTTTTTGCAGGTTGCCTGAATTTCTCTGGTCAAAGGGGTCAGAAAAAAAAAAAGAAGTCCAGCTTTGGTTATAAAGTTTGTAATTCTTAGGGGTGTGATATTTGGAATTGGTAAATAGGCAAGAGAGACAAATTTGGCATACTACATCAGAAAGAGTGTTTCACACTGTCATTATATAAACCATGGAGCCGCTGTGGAAGCTTGCATATTTGTTGGAACCGGCTTCTGTGACTCTCATTTTGACAGCTATAGCAGTGACATTTGGTTCTGTGATTCGAGCTTTTAACTATGGGAAAGAAATGGAGCGAAACCATGACTCGTCTGAAGAATCCATTATTTTAGATAGGTCCAAAGCACTCATGATACCCGTTCTGTGCTCTTGCGGCCTTCTTTTGATGTTCTACGTCTTCACTTCTATCTCGCAACTTCTAATTGCTTTCATTGCAATTGCCTCTGCTTCATCCCTTTACTTATGGCTTTCACCATACACTGCCTATATGAGGTCACAATTTGGTTTGGCTGACCCATTTCTATCTCGCTGTTGTTCCAAATCATTTACCCGAATACAGGGGTTTCTACTGTTGCTATGCTCCGGTATAGTTGTAGCATGGCTTATTTCTGGACATTGGATGTTAAACAACTTGCTGGGCATATCTCTTTGTATCTCGTTTGTGAGTCATATCCGCCTTCCCAACATCAAAATTTGTGCCATGCTCCTTGGTGGTTTGTTTGTGTACGACATATTCTGGGTATACTATTCTGAGAGGCTTTTTGGTGCAAATGTTATGGTCTATGTAGTAACACAGCAATCAGCTAATCTTGTTCACACAGTGGCTAATAAGTTCAGTCTTCCTGGAATGCAATTGTTTACCAAAAAACTGGGGCTGCCTTATAAGATTGTATTCCCCAGGAACTTGTGGCGTGGTGTGGTCCCAGAAATTAATGCTGCTGACTACATAATGCTTGGTCTGGGCGACATGGTAAAACTTCTTTTATGTGTGGTTACGCTAATAATCAAAATCCTCTCTAAGCATTGAAAGTTGGAGTTTTAGGACTCTTGATATTTAAAGCTATAGTGCAGAAGCATGTTGCATTATAAATTTTGCATAAATGAATTGTGGGAATATCATAGGTTGTTACATGATGCTGTGAATTTCCTTTTTACTGTTATAGAATGTTGATTTGTTTAGTTATTTATGTGTGATAGTCTACTGCATCTATTTGGGTGGTTAGAGAATTTAGGCATGTTCTGGGGATGCATCTTTTATGTATTTATAATAATGGTTGTATGTGTGTACTTGTCAGTAAGTGGAGGTAGGAATCTCAAGTGGGGTGCTAACACATTAGCCTGAGCACTTAAATACTGATGCATGTGCCTTTCGTTGACTTGACTTGGTTAAGAATGTCATGTCCTCATTGTTCCTTCAATTGTCTCATTCCGTTTGACTTCATTACGTGATAAACTGTGGCATACTTTTAAGCTTTTGGAATTGTGTTGGGTACGTAGGTTGTTCCTTCTATGCTTCTCGCATTAGTTCTCTCATTTGATCATAGATGGAGCAAGGATTCAAGTTCACTGAATCCAATTGGGATACCTTCTTGTAAAGGGCACAAGTACTTTTGGTATGCCCTGTCTGGATATGCAATTGGGCTGGTAGCTGCTTTAGGAGCTGGCATTTTGACACACTCGCCTCAACCAGCACTTCTATATCTGGTATGTTTTTTTTGGTGTGATGGTATTCAATTGTAAGTTTATCACCCATTGGGAGCTGCATTTTTCTTGCTAATCATTTGTGTCCGGAAGTCCCTTCATGTTAAGCGTGTCTTTAAATGGGAAAGTGAAAGAAAGGTTCTAACTTCTGATTCTGCCTTTTAGAAGGAAAATCAAGAACCAAAGGTTATCTTGATTTCTTCTAATGCATGCATGTCCTTGTTAAAAAGCGGGGGTGTTTGGAAAGCTGAGAGATTGGTTCACTGAGTTTTGATAGGGAATCATTAACTGGTGAAAGTTAGTAGTGTAGCTCCCAAAATTTCTATGGTTTCAAGTGCATTTCCTTTGTTTTCATTTATTGTTTATTATTTTGTTTTTTGTTCAGATCTCTTCTGTCATTTAAAAAAAAAACCTTAGAGCAAACACCATTCCGCCATCTTGGGCACTGATTTTTCTCTTCCTAATATTATGAATGCAGGTACCCTCTACTCTTGGACCTGTAATCGTCAACTCTTGGATGAGAAAGGAGCTAACAGAGCTGTGGGAAGGAACAACACCGAACATGAGGGAACTGGAGATAACAGAGCTATGGGAAAGAACAACACCGAACATGAGGGAACGTCATTCTCGCTTGATGGATGTTTGAGCTCATGATCTTCAGCCTCCTGCACCACATCAGCTCCTGCAGAGCTAATTGGAACTTGTAGATTCATTTAGATGACATTACCCTATTCTGGACAAACCTTAATAGAAACCATCATTTTTTTGAGTTTGTCATGGCTGGCTACAAGTTTGTTGCTTGAAAAAGTACCGACACAGATGATGAATACCATTGCATCGCAGCTAGCAAGTAGCTACATGTGATTCACAAATATTGAATTTTGAATTTGATAAATGCTTGCCTTAGTCTCTCCACTTAAGAGTTAAATTTCCGTTTCATGTTTTCCAAAGCTACAGGTAAAATTAGTTAGAAATGAAATAAAGGCAGAAATTGGAGGATATCCTGTAATTCATTACGATAATGTTCATTTGATACTTCTATATCACAATGAGTTTTCGTTGACAGTTTTATATGCATCAATTGGTAACAAATTATTGGTTACTGGGGGCATTTCAATAGGGCTGCAAATGAAATAAACTTTCATGGAGAGTCCAGGATCAATCCAGATAAAAAGTCATCCGAGTTTGTTTATTTACATAATGAACTGAGCTCAAGTTCAATTTTAATGTAAACGTAAATAAGCCAAGCCTGAATGATGTTTTGTCCAGCCCAATAGCTCGTGAATTTAAACTCAAAGACAAGTTTGAGCTCAATTCGTTTAAGTATTCGTTTAAGTAGATGCGATGAGACAAGTCCAAAATTGGACAAAGAGTTAACTGAGCCCACCAAAAACAAGATATCCGAAGCTTATTAGGAGCCAGAACTGGGCCAAGCCCAAACACAGTGATTCTCACCTTGGTTTGGTTCATTTGCACCCTTCCGTTTCAATGCCTTGCAGCCCGACTACTTGTGCCCAGCAGATGGGAAATGGCTTCCAGCAAACCATCTCTTTCCTATAGCCACAGTTGAAGACCAAGGCTGCACAATTCACATTTAAAAAAGCTTCGCTACCACGCGTAGCGTAACATGCATGTTTACACATCTTTGCTTTCAGTGATTAAGTCAAGAAGAATCGTCCGTACAAGAAGTGACACAACAGCTTGGATACAAAAGCATTCTATGAAACAATCATTTTGCTCGGACTAGAACAGATGAGTTACATATCATATGCCTATACTATCCCACATTATAAAAGTAAGAAACAGGAAATCATAATCGGCTGTAGTTTTTCCCCCTCAAAACAAAACTAGTTTCTGATCATAAACATTTCTCCAAAAGAAACACGATAAGGCAAAACAAACATTTTTAGCTAATGAAATCAAGATTAAAGCAGCTAGAAAGAGCATTCTTCACTTCTTCTTCTCACCACCTCCACCAGATCTGCATACAATCACCCAAAATAAGTAGTCATGAGTTGATTAGTACACATTTATACATTATTTATTTAACTATATCTCCGTTTGTCAAACATTTCTAAGATACTCACTAGGAATTCCTCAATCTGAAACTAAAACTTAAATTTGACAACATTTTCATTTCTTCGAACATTTCAAAGATGAGGATATACGTAGCCATTATAGAAAATTACCTCATCTTGCGAAGAACATTAGACATCTCTTCTCTCTTCTTCTTTGCCCTCTTGTGAGTGCCCAGTTTTCTCTTCGCTACTTTCAATGCACGCTTGTCCTTCCCAACTTTAAGAAGTTCAGTAATCCTCTTCTCATATGGCGCAAACCCAGCAACTTCCCTGATCAGGTTCCTCACCAAGTGGATTCGTTTGCTAGTTTTCTGAATCACAACAGCAATTGGGCACCACAAACTTATGTTACAATCAAAACTAATTATTCAAGAAGTCCTTATCTAGTTAACGGAAAGCATCACATTAGTTTGTGTAAGCCAAAGCACTTTTCCACTGATATACACAATGAATTAGAAGAAAAAATGAAACCCAGTAACCAGGAGGTACTTACGCCTTTCCTATCTGATGGACGAGGAGCCAATTCCTTCTTGGTGACAACATGTCCTTTGTTCAGTCCAACAAAAATGCCAGTGTTTGGCTGTTTTGGAGCCATCGCCTGCTTCAATTATACCCAGATGCATTTTGGTGTGAGTTTATCAAACATCAAACAGAATATTCATCACAAGCATATACTAATTTTTCTGTTTCATCTTTAACAACGGCCAGCTGCAATACCAGTAACTTACATAAAAATTCAAAAATTGCTTGACAAGTTGCTTATAAATTAATTTACTATTATATCTCTAGACAAGAAACAAACATCTATATTTTGTATTTATACACAAACAGAAGTGTGAATATCTATCTGTGTCTGTAATTTCTTCCTCCGAGGTTAGTAGTTGGCCTAATGACCACTGCCCCCTTCCACCCTAAGGTCTTCGAATCTCGTCGTCGAGGCTCCCTACCCAAAAAAAAATTAAAATAAAAATCCTTCCTCCCAGTGGGTGAGGGGAAGATGGTCCTATCAAAAAGTGGCGTAGAAGTCAGCAATCGACTGTTTCGAATCAATCCCATTACATTCACAAAACACTTAATAAACCTAAAACATATAAATGCACCTGAAGATGAAACTAAGATGGGTTTTCTGTAAATGGTGTAAACGTTGTTTGTTTCAAAGAGAAAATACTGAATCTAAGCATACATCGGACAAAACTCCAAGAGACAAGTCAATACACAAAAATACACTAAAATTTAAGCATCGAATGAGAACATAATATGGAGTAGAACAGATCACGCAAAAGATTCACAGCTCACAACAAAGAAATGTTTACCTTTCGAACCCTTTGATCTGCGAAGATCTGAGGCCGGTTGGGAAGCAAAGCTAGGGTTTTGGGTTTGTGCTTCTTTTTATACCCCACCACGAGAATCGGGGTTAGCTGGGCATTAAAAGAAAATGATGACGGTATTATGGTCACATAAGTTGGAAAGACAAGGAGGCCATAATCGATTGATGGTTATAACGGAGTGGGTGGTTTGGTGGGATATTATCTATACTCCTCTTCTTAAAATTGGGAGTTTGAATCTTGAAGTCTTCATTAAAGTTTGGTGATTGACCGTTATGCTAACCTAATTAGGTTTGGTCCCAAGAGGTATTTCAGGCGCAATCAACGATCTTATGATCTCACCGGCAAATACCTATTGTTAGAAATAATTAGTAATGTAAAAAATCCTACATTAAAAAAGTTGAAAGAGAATATAAGGGTTTAAAAGGAGCAACACACACCAACTTTTATAAATTTGGATGGTGGAAAGATTTGGAGAGAAGTTCCAAATATTTCAAATCAATGGGTCTTGATTAGACTTTAAATAAAATAATCTTTAAAGTCAAAAGATGGGCACTTGGGATATCTTAGGCTTGAAACCTTTAAATAATTAATTAATTTTTGTATTAATTAATTGATAAATGTCTTTTAGCTCAAGAGTTGTGTCTTCTCTATATATCTCTTTTGGCCCAAAAGTTGTGTCTCCTCTTTACATCTATTTGGACCAAGAGTTGTGTCTCCTCACTAAAGTATTATAAATACATGTACAGATCTTTCAATTAAAATATATACAAAACAAACGTTTCTCTATTCTATTCTTGGGAAAATTTCAAAGTTTGTTATCTGAAATTCTGTTTGACTTTGTTAATCCTAGAGTAATCTGCCATAAACCTAGCAGCAACACAGTGAGGGCATAATTTCTTTAAGGACAGTGAATACACGATCAAAGCCTTCTAATTTTGTGAAATCATATTTTGTTAACACCTATTTGGGTGGTTGTTGAACATTTTTCTTTGCCCTCACCCATATTTTAAGTGTCAAAAAAAAAAAAGGAGAATCTTTTGCATAGATTATACACATCAAGTGACAAGCCCATGTGTTGTGTTTAACCAATAAAAAGAGGACATACGAATAATTTGTCAGATGTATTACACGTTAGCATTTCCAAGAAATATGCTGAGGAAAAATGTCGGATCTGTGGCGGTGTATACAGTACCACTAATTTTAAAATTCAAATTTTCTATCACTTTATCTTCACAGCCCCACTCAAAACTTTTAAATCTCTCTCTCTCTCTAACCATTTTTTCCATCTCGATTTCACTCTTATCTCTCTTGAGGAACTGTGTTTCTTTTGGTTAACTTACAAAATAAATATCAAAGGTATCTTGAAGATTAATCAGGTTTGTTGGATGTTCTCACTCGACTACGCTAGTATGCTCGGAAATTGAGAAAATCGAGCAACTATGATGGATAATTTTATTATGCTTAACTATTTTGTTCATATTCACACACACACACACACAAAATTTTAAGAAAGGAGAGAAGTGAAAGATGAACTATTTTTGTTCGGATAGAGATTTGAAGTGTGTCAATCAGATGCATGGATATGAGTTTTTGATGTGCAGTATCATCCTTTAATTACACTATCCTTCGCTGCAGGTGCCTATTGAGTAAGCTGATTGTGCAACAAGCTACTCCACATCTATAGAGATGCAAATACACCAACGGTGACATTAGTCCAAGAGCGAAGTAGTTTGATTTTGATTTTCTTTCTTATGATTTTGGCCTGTATAGTGTGCCAATCAAATTTGTTGGGTAAAGAACTTCGATGGGTGTTCAAGAACTCATTTATATTTAGTAATATTAAATTAGTTAAATGATGGCAATGTTTTCTTTTATTATTTCAAGTATTTCTATAAGATTTATGTTCGAGACTCGTATTATATATGTTAAGGAATAAGGAATACACTGTGTATGGATGGATAACCAAGAATATGATAGTTGGTATGATATGGAAGTTTTTTTTTTGATGTTATAGTGCATCCCAAAAATTTGTTTGTACCGAAATTTCATGGGAAAAAAATTCTGGCAGCCAAAGAAAAGAATAAAAGAACACAATATAGTCTAGAGAATGTGCTGGCAACTAATTGAGGAAGCTTTGCATGATGGTATAAACTTGTCTTATGCACCACAAGTCAGCTTGGGTGACTAAACAAGAAACCAAAAACATATAACAACAAAGAGGAGACTGATATTTTACAAGACTGAAGGGGCTGTCCGTTGGGGGCGAGGGCGGTTAACAGTGGTAAAAAGTCATACATGTAGATAACTTAAAATTTATGATATTTTACAAGATGTTCCAAAAAAAAAGTATTTAGTTCATCAGAATCATCTCATTACTGATTCCCAGAAGTCCAAACAAAATTTCTCGTTGATTCTCACTCATGACCTTGTAAAAAACGTTGTCGGAGGAACTCCGAATCATTTCCAACATTGCAATATTGATTTGTAATAAGTTGGTAATAGGCATATTCAAACAAGGTACATTGGCAATATGAATGCCAAACAGTGGTACAAACTACATACACGCGCAAATCACATAATTAAAATATAATTATCCTTGATTTTGAAAATTTGTGTTATCTTCCATTCTTAGAACTGATGATTGCATCCCACTACCTACTTATAAACACATTATAACAAACTCACACGATAAAATTAATTTCATAATTTACGAAGGACAATAGGTTGTTACCTCACATGACTGTCCTGAGTTGTGGCATTTAGGATGTACATGCATCCGCCTTTGATGATTTTTTTCCTTCTTCTCCGATAAACTTTTTAGCCTATCATATGTTTTTCCTTTTTGTCTCAATCAAGGAGGATCCAACACTGGCATACTAGAAATTTCTAAAAAAATGTTCTCATCAACTGTATTTTTTTCTAATAAAGTTGACTTGTATTTTCTCACTTGATGTACAATGTTATCCAGGTTATTTTCTACAATCTCAACAGTTGTATCATCATCCGCACTAAGATTCATAATATTAAACGCCTTCTGCATTTACTTATTGAAGCACAATGTCCTAGATGAATTTTCATTACTGTCTGACAATAAAGTATTAGTCATACCAAGTTTCACCCCTTGCTTTGTATTTTTGGTCCATCTTTTCAAGATATACTGTTCGGGAATTTTGTTCACATAATTCAAATTGAATGCCCTTAATGCATGACGACATAACCAACCCAATGACTCAAATTTTTACAACTACACATTATTGAATAATTTGAGCTGTCAAACTGCACAATATAGTCTCAATCACCTCCTTCCTTTCTTATCTTATACATATGAATTGTGTTGTCATGACTGGACTAAACTTCCTTTTGAAAAACATATTATAAAAACTCATTTTGAAATAATTCAAAAATCTTGTGTGTGTACACCTTGTATGCATGCTTTAAAATTCTAGAATCACAAACTAAAACCCAAGGTTTAACATAAGTACAATTATAATCATCAATCACCTCAATGTCACACATTTTTTCAGTATTTTGTTCAAAATGATGCACAAATTCTGTCAAAATCATTGTCTTACAAGCCATATNTAAAATTCCGGAATCACGAACAAAAACCCGAGGTTTACCATGAGCACAATTATAAATCATAAATCATTGTATTACAAGCCATACGTTGAAAAACATTATTTGTGCTCTCACTTCTTTGACTTGAGCTAATGTTACAAGAAAATGTATCATGACTAAATGCAGGAGCCCATTTTTCACGAAGGTNCTTTGACTTGAGCTAATGTTACAAGAAAATGTATCATGACTAAATGCAGGAGCCCATTTTTCACGAAGGTTATACAATTTCTGAAGCCATGCACATTCAAACAATCCCAAGTCACCATCATCTTAGTCCACTTTTCATCAAAATCATTCTCACAATCAAAGTTATACAAAAGATAAGAAAACATATCCCTAAACTCAAGTTCGCGATAAAGAGAAGAAATATTTGCAGTGGCATTTTTTGATATATGCCACTGACACAAATGGTGGCGAGTATTAGGAAACACCCTTGTAATGGCATTTGCCATTGTATGATCTTGATCAGTAAAAAAACAATTTGGCGCCTTATGATCCATGGACTCTAAAAAAGCATCAAACAACCAAACAAATGAAGTAGTTGTCTCGTCGCATAACGCACAACCAAACAACATATTTTTCCAATTATGGTTTACTCCCACAAATGGAGCACATATCATGTTGTATCTGTTTGTACCGTAAGTGGTGTCAATGATAACAACATCTCCAAAAATCTCATAATCTAATTTTGATATTCCATCTCTCCAAAAAAAATTGGTCATTCGATTTTCCTTATCAACTTGCACAATATAAAAAAAACATGGGATTTTCTACTTGCTAGTGCTTGAAATAATTAATCAAACTCTAACCATCACCGGCTGAATTTTTTTTTTGACCTTTCAGCTTGTATAAAATTATGGCAATCACTCTGAGTAAATTCAACATTTTGATATCCACCAACTTCATTTACCAAATAAGAAAATATTTTTTTAGCTCTTATAAAAGCGTCAACCATTGATTTAATAACGACTTNTTCATTTACCAAATAAGAAAATATTTTTTTAGCTCTTATAAAAGCGTCAACCATTGATTTAATAACGACTTTACTAATATTTTGTATCTTTCGGGAGGATCTCATCAAATGTTGTTGTTCATATTCAATAAAAGGGTGATTATGCTCAGAGAAAAACTGTGATTCATATACGTCATTTTACACTGTAAAAATAGCACGAGCCTGACAACCACATCTCATTTCTACTTTATAGGATTTTTTCTCCTCACTTGGGTCTGTAAATTCTCTAAATCTCTCTTTTGAACATAAAAAAACGCGTTTGCTAACTTCACCTATGTTTCTTGAAAAGATCTTATACCCCTTTCAAATGCTAAAACATTTACTGTATGCATATTTGTACTACGTGTTAAATGTCTCCTCTTCATTAAACGCTAACATACCAACTTTCAACTCACAATCATCATTATTGGCACTTAAAAATTGATTAGGTGCATTAATCTCAAAGTAGTCAGCTCTAACTTCTTCGTCGTTTACCAATGGGTCTTTGGTCTAATGGTATTTTTTATCTTGTGAAGGCTTTACTTTCTTGAGGTCAAGAGTTCAAGTCTCCCCCCCCCAAAAAAAAAGAAATACCTTCTTTGTTGTCATCATCAAAGATTTCTACAGTGTAAAATTACGTAATGACATATAGTTAAAATTTCATCCATGTATAGCTAAATCAAACATACATAATTAATTTGAATCTAAAAGGTGAAAAAAAAATACCAATTTGTGCAATTTGTTTGCCACGATTTGAAGTCATTGTTCAATCTATATCCTCACTCTTCAAATTGATTCTGCATACAATAAACCTCAACGCATGAGAAATACAAAGTAAAAAACATGATACTCATAATAATGGACAGTGAGAGAAAAGAAACTAATTTCTTACCAATCCACAAGTGAGACTTTTGAAATGTTAAAAGAAAATGTGATTATGGAGAGAAAGGAAGAGAGATTCAAGAAGAGATGTTATTTTGAAGTGGGAATGAGAGTTTGAGAGTTTTACGGTGGAAGAAGTAATAAACAAGTGGTTGGTGAATGATTAAAACAATAATGAATTTTTAATTAATGGGTTATTAATGCTACAGTATCTAGTCAATCACTTGTCCAAAAATACAGCTGAGTTGACCTCTCCAGCTGCCTCTAGTCAATCATTTGTCTAGGTCTTTACGAGAGGAACTGTGTAGCCAAATTCAAATTTTTGTAGCAAGAGGAATATATCATAATCAATAGAGAAAAACCCTTCTCGTTCAAAATCAAAAATCATGCTATAAACTACAAAATAAATGTATTTAATGACCTAAATTGTCGTATAAGTAAAAAAAAAAAAGCTTGCCTAGCTTGAAAATTGAAATGACCCTTTTTCTTAAACAGGGTATATAACTCAACTGGAAAGCTAGGAAAGGATATTATACTAGATCATAAGAATAGGAGTATAATATTTTTTTTTTAAAGACTAAAATCTATGATTGGCAAGTTGAGTTAGTAAATTAGTGGTCAGGGCATTTTATAGAGATGAAGAGATTTACCTATTTTTCCACTGATCCAACCTGGATGTTGTTGGATAGCCCTCTTCACCAGATGTGCGAAGAGACTTAGAGTGAAGACGAAATAGATATTGAAGGATAGATATGGAGAGAGAGAGATGATCTAATGTCTAAATGGATTTTGAATTTTGAAATTTGAGAAAACTTGAAAAGAGATTCTCTCAGGCTGCGTGTCCCGTTAATTCAAACGTAAACTTCCGTTTACAAACCCCATCACTTGTTGAGTTGGCTTCTTTGAAAAATTATCTGACAAATGGATGACATGGCACATATTCATTGGATATGTACACCACATGTTTCAGCCACATGGTGTGTTGTACACATGCAAAAATTTCTCCCCTCCCTCCATATTTCACTCTCTTACAACCTATCCTTTTCTCATCTCTCAGCCTCCTTTCCTTTTAGAATCCGCCGAAGCCCCTGCGACAGGTAACACACTCATCTCTCTCTCTCTCCCTCACTTAGATCTCACACACACATACACACAGCCATCTTCGTCCACCTCGCTCAACACCCCCCCCCCCCCCCCCCACTCACCTTTTGGGGTTTCATCGCAAAATGTTTGAGAAAATGCCTTCAATAATTGGGTGATGATTAGGGCTGCGAGATTATTGTTCCCTTTCCTGCACAAACCCCTCCTTCCTTCCCAGCACCGACAATTATTATCTGGTGATCACTCTTCAAAGCAAGGAGCTTGTATGAATAAATTCTTGGACAGAGATCAAATTTTTGTTATGTTACAACTGTAGTTTTTTAGCTCACATTCTCATTTTGTTTAATGTTTTGTTTTTCAATGAATCCTTAAATCTTCTTAAAGTTATTCCATTCATAGTTTACCGCCAGTGGGAGCTTCTTGCTGCCATAAAAAGTTTGCCTTACATTTTGCCTTTCTAATGATGCAAATTCATTTTTAGACTTACGAAATCAGTCTTCCATTTCCCTTTTTCCTTCTTTCAGTCGCCATTAAAACATTACATCATCAAAGATACAAATTAGATTCCTATATTAGGCTCATCATTTTTAGGTTAAAGAACTTTTTTTTTTCAAAAAAAAAAAAAAAAACCATTGTGTCAACGTTTTTGATGGATACTATTTTTTTTTTTGATGGATACTATTGCAGAGTTTGGCAGTGAATAATGTCAACCTTGGGATGGGCTCAGACATCACTATGGTCCCAACGAAGTTGTTGCGGCATGATGGTGATCAGTAATTAGTTTGAGTTTTATTTTTTTAAATAAATATTTTTGCTAATTATTAATTTGATAATATAAATTGTGTACAGTAGTTGATATTGTTCATGAGTAGTGTTTTAAAATGAAATTCTGTCGATTTTTTTGTTAAATAGTTTCTCATATTTATTGACAATAGTTCTCCAATCAGAATGTTTTTATATTATATAGTAATANAGTTGATATTGTTCATGAGTAGTGTTTTTAAATGAAATTCTGTCGATTTTTTTGTTAAATAGTGGCTCATATTTATTGACAATAGTTCTCCAATCAGAATGTTTTTATATTATATAGTAATACGACATTACTATTACTTAGACACAATGATCTTTGTACCAACCCTAGAGATAATTTCTATAAAAAAACAGTGAAACCAAAAAGACTTAATTTTTGTTATTATTATCTTGTCTAACATTGAAAAAGGGAAATTTTGTAAGTATAATAATTTTTATATTTTTCATGCTTTCCAAATTCATAACATTCTTGGAAAATTTTCATTCTAAACAAACCCATGAAAGAAAATATTTTTTTTAATTTTCCATTCTATCGGTTCATTTCTCTNAAATTCATAACATTCTTGGAAAATTTTCATTCTAAACAAACCCATGAAAGAAAATATTTTTTTTAATTTTCCATTCTATCGGTTCATTTCTCTCTATTTTTTTCCATTGCGCGAAACACATTTAACACCCCAATTGATTCTCTCCCCTAAAGTCTCGCATCTGTTAACTTTAGTTTCTACCAATACAGATTGATTGACATTTGGCACAACCCAGCAATGAACATACACCCGTGGACAGAGTTATGGATTCCACTGAGAAACTTGGAAAATCACACACAAACACATTTTCATGGGAAACAAATTTAACACCGAATGATGGAGGCCAAACACCAATCCAATGCTTCCATAGAAAGCCTGCACATATTTTTATTGGTTAAGAGTACGTTTTAATAACGTATTCAAGGATCCCGTATTGAGAAAACACTTTCTCTCTCTAAGCAAGACCTTCTCTCTCTAAGCGATTGGAGAAAGAGGGAGAGAAACCCTGCTCTTTCTACCTTTTCACACTTATTCTTCCCTTTCCTTGGAGGAGGAAAATCATCCGCAGCGAAGCATAAAGAAGGTTAAAGAAAACCATGAACAACATCCTAATGATATGAACCTCGACCCATCGGGTAGGAGTTCAGAGATTTTGTATACCCACCAGAAGTCACTCTGAAGAATATGAGTTATAAAGCAGTATTAATGGAGGACAATAACTCCATTTATTTTGATCTGGAGATGTATAACAACTCCTTGGATGACGAACCGACAGATTCTGAACCAGGGGAAGGTCCTTGCAAGAAGGATAACACCTTCATCGACTACTCAGATGAGAGTTGCCCCAAGGTCACTTTATCCCAAAAAACAATACAGAGAATCAGGAAGAAATGGAAGAATAGCCTTATTGACAAACTCTTGGGTAAATCTATAGGGTATAAGATGCTATGTATCAGGGTGAAAAATATTTGGTGTTTACAAGAAGAATTAGACGCTGTGGATTTGGATCATGGGCTTTTCCTGTGTAATTTTCAACTGCAAGAGGACCTTCACATGGTTTCCACCGGTGGACCTTGGATTATTATGAACTATTATCTCACGGTGAGAAAATGGGAGCCTAACTTCATTCCTTTGAGGGCCCAAAAAAATTTAACGGTACTGTGGGTTAGACTGCTGGAATTGCCGGTGGAATACTATGAGGAGAAAACGATCTTCAAGATTGCGCAAGCATTGGGTAACCCAGTTAAAGTGGATATTAGAACAGCGACGGCGGAAAGGGGAAAGTTCGCAAGGGTCTGCATAGAAAGGGACTTGACCCAACCTCTCATTTCCCATTATGGATTGGGATCCCTTCTCTTTATAGTTGAGTATGAATGCCTCCGTTCAATCTGCTTTGCTTGTAGTAGAATCGGTCATTCCGGTGACTATTATACTTTTGTGCGCAGAACCGATCCATCGGAGTCCACCAGAAAAGGTAAACAAGTAGTCGTTTCTGATCCTCATTCACCGATAACGTATAATTCCACTGATTCGATCCAAACGGTAGGAAAGGCTACCCTGTCTAACCCAATGGACCCATCTGCTAAGACTAAGAGTTACAGTGAAGAGGACCAGGAATGAACTGAATTATGTAGAAAAATGGGGAGAAATATAGGAAGAATTATGACAATAAATAAATAAGATAATGGGATGTGAGTATTATTTTTAAAATTTATTTTTTTTTAAGTATTTCCTTTAAACTTATCTTCGTTTAAATTTTTTTTTTCATTATGTAGTTGTTAATAAGTACACATTTTAAAATTCTTTATAAAATATATTTCATAATTACTGTTATTATAAATAGTGCATATCTACTTGAATATGAGACTTTCAAGAATTTTTTTGATATTTGTGTATTATTTGAATTTTAAAATTTTATATATACACACGTAATACAGTAACATTAAACAGTAACACACTCAACAAAAAAATAGTAACATCAAACAGTGGCACGCTCAACAAAAAAAAGAGTAACATCAAACAGTGACACGCTCAATAAAAATATTTGTGTTACTATTTGATGTTACTATTTATTTGTTGAGTGTGTTACTATTTGATGTTATTTTTTTTTTGTTGAAAGTGTCATTGTTTGATATTACTGTTTTTTGTTGAGTGTGTCACCGTTTGATGTCACTGTATTACGTATGTGTGTATATATATATATGAAATTTTAAAATTCAAATAATACACAAATATCAAAAGAAATATTAAAAGTCTCACATTTTAATTTTGAAAGTCTCACATTCAATTAGGTATGCACTATTTATGGTATGGATAAAATGATTTTTATGACTTTTCTTTAATATATATTTCTATCTTAATTATGTTAAAAAGTATACTTTTATGTTATTAAGTTTTTTGTGAGATACCGGCCTCCCCGAGCTCCAAAATAAATCACATCAGGTATCCTCTAGGCCAAGAGCAAGTAATAGGTTCCAGGCTCTGGAGAAGGAAAGCCCAAGCTCGTAACCAACCCACTAACGAAAAGATCCAGATGGACGTAGAGAGAGCTCCTTTTCTTCCAGGTTCGATTCATTCACACAAGAGGCAATGGTCTAACGAGGACCAACGAGGAGTTGCAAAGAAATGGGTAAAGTCCGATAAGAACAAGTCGTTTGTCCTCAGAAGGGGTTAATGAAGTCCTCTTCCCCGAGGTTCATCCAGCGTCTGGCGACTCCAGGAACAAAACCGAAGGTTCCAAACCAAGGTCTAGGAAGGAAGACTAACCTGAATCAGATCAGTCTAAAGTCATTGTTCCAGAGACGTATGCAAACAACCTAAACCCTCTTCAAGAAACCCTTCATCTTCACCTTCCCCAACTTTTTCCACCTCCCCATATAACTTTACCTCTTGAGAAAGACGGTTCCTCGCTAGACAAACCCACCTCTTCTCATCGCCAAGAAACCAACGTCGACCTCAAAGTCCCCAAACCACCAGATCCTAATCATGAACAAACAGTGTTACCCCCTATAAGGACGATCAACCTCAACAACAACAACGTGGGCCAGATATTTCAGCTGGAGGAGGAGGACATCTGGCTTACACTAGTTAAGAGGGTTTTTTTAGCAATAGAAAGGTTTCTGCTCCGAAGGATGTCCACCTTCAGTCTAGCAGTGACGGTGAGAGCAGACCCACCCTTAGAAACACAGNCAATAGAAAGGTTTCTGCTCCGAAGGATGTCCACCTTCAGTCTAGCAGTGACGGTGAGAGCAGACCCACCCTTAGAAACACAGAGGAGGGAGGTCATGAGAACAACAGGCATTAACCCAACTCTCCTTTCCTTTTTCCTGAATATGTCTTCCATAAAGAAACTTTCCTGAAACTGTAGGGGAGCTGGTAACCNAGAGGAGGGAGGTCATGAGAACAACAGGCATTAACCCAACTCTCCTTTCCTTTTTCATGAATATGTCTTCCATAAAGATACTTTCCTGGAACTGTAGGGGAGCTGGTAAACAGCGCCTCAGAAATGCGTTCAATGACTTAATGAGAAACCACAATCCTGAAGTTGTGGTGGTTAGTTATGGAAACAAGGGTCCAAAGTGAAACTCTTGGAAATTTCTTTCACCAATATAGTCTTGCCAACGCAGAGGTGGTGGAACCTCTAGGACGATCAGGTGGTATATGGCTCCTTTGGGACCCTATGAGAGTTTCTGTTCAGATCATTGAGACAAACAATCAAGCCATTCCCGGGTTTATTTCTAGGTTGGACTTTGACACGTGGGTGTTTCTGATCTCTACGGGAATTTAAATCCTGCCAACACAGGTGCCTTATGGGACAATCTAAGTCACACGGGGGATAATTTTCACAACCATTGACTTGTGGCAGGCGACTTAAATGACTACACAAACCAAGACTACACTAATGGATGTTTAAGGTTCATGGAGAGGATCAACAGATGCAGACTCATCGACCTTGGATGCAGTGGTCCCAAGTTGACTTGGCCCAGTAAGAGAAAAAGGTTTGCAAATACCCTACTCCGACTTAATTGAGCCTTGGCTAATGTTCAGTGGACGTCAAAGTTTCCGGTAGCAAGAGTTCAAAACCTTCCACGGACCAGTTCTGATCACTGTCCTATCCTCATTCACTGTACAGGGACTCTAACCCTGCCTTTCTGAGATAGTTAGAAATGTTCTGATGTCCCCTTTATCTGATGAAGAAATTAAAGCTTCTATCTTCAGTATGAAAGCCTCTTGAACCCCTGG